AGCACAATCTGATAGGTAGCATTTTTTGCTATCGATTTGTGCTACCTATTTTTTTAATGGGAGGTAGCACAAGTATACCACAGTTTGGACGCATGTCAAATGTAAAAGGATGTTATTATGACAAAATAATATTAAAATATATAATTTTTCTTGTCCATCTACAAGTGCCTGGCACTAAAGAATTAAAAACACCACAAAATCATTTAAATACTGTAATAATGTCTTTTGACCTATGAACACAGCTCTTATCTTGCTAATGTCATTGAATATTGGTGTAATCTGAAGACGAACATCATCACTGTTCCCATAATCCCATAAAGCCTCTCAAGCTATGATGTCACAGTGCTGCTTTACAAACCAGAAACCCAGATTAATATCCTCAGGTTATATGTGGCAAAAAAGAACGGCAAGTCATTGATGCTCAAATGTTTTAATCAAAATCCAAATATATATAAAGGAAAATATATATTCTTTTTGAACTATTCCCACTTTAATACAAATAAAACATTTTATGCATAGATACTGTTTCACATGAAATCAGAGAATATTAATAAAAAAAATCTGTCATAAATGACTGAGGATCATGTTGGTGCTGGTATTTCATATGCAGTGACAGAACTAAGATTTACGACGAGAATAAGAAATTACAGCAGCTTATCAGACCTAAACAGTGTAAGTGTCGTAATTAACTTATTTGGTGACTAAATGTACCTTCTTAGAATCATGGAACAAATGAGTGGATTTCAGGATAGTTTCCAGAAGTGTGGCTAGACTGACGCCCAAGAAAATGGGCTTTTAACAGGTGACTCACTGTCGCACTCACTACTTATTGAGAGCCTCGTAGCACTGAATGTCATGTGAGACAGTGTCTTGAAGTAATACCTCAGTTTCTCTCTGAACACATAATAACCTGTTACCACAACAGCTCCCAGACGTCAGGAGGACTTTTAAGTGGCACAGCAGAAATTGAACATATAGCAATTCTACATTCTTCAATATAAAACACCAAAAGCACCAACACACCTATAACAATTTTTTAAACATCACTAAAACAGTTTTTCCCAAAATGTGTCACATTACTTATAAAGTATGGTGAATAAATAGTCCAAATAATTTAATACAATTTAAAAAATATATCAATGATTATAACTGCAAAATAAGAACTAGAACACAGTCCAACTTCTTGAATTCCAGTTTATATAGACTGATAGCCCTTGATGCCTAGATGCTTTTGCATAATAAGTCAGGCTCATGTGACTGACACACTAACTCTGCTACAGGTTGGTACAAGGACAGAGGATCAGTAGGTTGATGCACCTTTGGTTCCAGTAGATTATGACTCTGCTATCAAAACCAGGTAGGTCCAAAGGAGTCTGGTCTGATAGTAAGCGCACAGTTGGCTGGGTCCAAACATGGAAAGTCGGGTGGTAAATCAGGGCCAAGAGCTCAGAGCAGCAGCACAGTGATCCAGATTTGCATATAGCTCAGACAGCTGCGCTCCACCCACACACAGCTTCTCCCTGAGAACACACACATATACACATAAGACTTCACTCTCATGTTTGTAAGGAAGCTTATTTCCGTCACGGAATAAAACAACAAGGTTATTGTTAAGTGTGACTTTTCGTGATTCTGTATTTTTCTAAACAAAAAATATAAATAAATCATTCTATATAATTATTAGTATTCAAATATTTCTCCTTCTGTGTTCCACTGAAAAAAGATTATACAAAATTGGAACGACACGAGTGTGCGTAAATGATGGCAGTTTTCATTTTTGGGTGAACTAAAAGGGTTACATTGGACAACATTCTTCATTGTTCTTCTCCATTTAATACAAAATAGAAGCAGATAGGATGAAGGTCGGAACACGTCCTGAAAAGTGAAGCTGCGGACTCTTTGATCGCCCCCTGGTGGCTGGATGCAGTACAGGTCATAAACCCCGCCATCTCCATGTAAACAAATGGGACTTGAGTCAAAATAAAAAAATAAATTACACTTCCAATACAGTTTCCGAAAGATGGTTTTGGTCATTTAAGGTAGTTGTTATCACAGTCGTCCATCTTTTTTTACAGTCTATGGTCGGAACAGTAATCAGATTAAGCAATGAAGATTTGATCTGCCTAAACAGTTGTTAGTGTTCCTGATTGTTCCTGCTGTTTCACTTCACACAGGATAACTTCTGCTACACTGCCTGTGGTTCCAAACAGGAAGTGGATGTCTCGTACACAGGAAGCGAAAGAGGTCGAGAGAAGGTGGCTGAAAAAATGTCTTTGCAGAGACCTGATGAGGACACTTCATATATTTATATAGTTATAATAAGTTTTTTAACTTTAATAATGAATGCAGCAGTTTTACTGCCAATTATAAGAGTTCTTTATGGGCTAAAATTGAAGCGTTTAAATCAGAGGGCTAAAATCTGGGAAGAAAATGGTCTTTTGTTTATAAATTATGACAGATTTTGATGTAAAAATCCAACAAAAATGGTAAATGCACCTAAGGAAACAGAATTTATTAATACAATTTTTTTAATTCATGACCCCTTTACTACAAGGCAATTGCACTCTAAGTTAGCATGCCGTTAACTTTATATATCTACAGGAAATGCTTTACTGACTACAACGAAATTGTTCCCCGTGTTTATTACTAGCGTTCATGGGAAAGGAAAGGCATTTAAACAATTGCAGAAATCTCTGAGTCACAGTCACACAGGCTGTCTGCTCTCTCTCTCCCTGGCACAGTGTTTCAACAACTGACTTGAATGAAGGCCATTATTGTGTTACTTTATTTCTCTCCTCCCTCTCTTTCTTGCAACCTGTTGCTGCTTGTTGCCTTATTTTGTTCACATTTTGTGTTCCCCAATGGATGTTACATAACCACCCAAAAAAAAGAAAAATGAAGGAATGCATGCACTTGTCCTTCTCCAATGCAAACCCTCACTACGCTGGTTTATATAATGAAGGGTATGGTGGAAGTAAAGACCAGGGCTGCGTTTCCCGAAACCTTCTTAACGCTACGTCGTTCGTAAGTTATACCTTAAGTTGTACCTTTACGTTAATACGTGTTTCCCGAAACGTTCTTAGTTAAGTATACCTTCCGTAAGTCATTCGTTCGTAAGGTTAGTCTGGACCCTTCTTAGCTATACCTTATCGCTGTTCACAGTTCACT